ACGATATTCATGCTCCGATTAAGCCTGTAAAAATGAAACACCTACCTGCGCCTTGGTTAACCGATGACCTTAAAAACTTATCAGGAAAAAAGGTTACGCAAAAAGTAAGCTTAAGGCGGATAAATCCGATAAAAATCTACGAAACTATAATAAAGTACGGAATCGCTGCAATACATTATGTAGAGATGCACAACGACGCCACATTCACAAATCTATCGAAAACGGCGGCACTGTCAAAGTTTGGAAATTTCTTAAATCTCTGGGAGTTGGTAAATTACACTCTAGCTCTCTTCATAATAATATTGATATTGAACTCCTTAACCAACATTTTACCTCTTCCAGTGCAATTGATAGATCAGATAAAGATATCACGTTGAGTATTCTTTCTAAAACGCCAACTCCTGATTTCCCACCGTTTAATTTCACTCCTTTCACTGAGTGTGATGTTAGAAGGAACATATTGTCGGTCTCGTCGAATGCCGTGGGGAATGACAGCGTTAGTCGTAACATGATCCTACCTATCCTTGACCTAGTTAGTCCTGTTATCACCCATATCCTGAATGAATCTATCTCCACATCTAAATTTCCTGAAGCATGGAAAAGTGCATTAGTAACTCCTCTTCCTAAAAAGGCTCATGCCGTGCACTCTACCGATTTCTTCCCGTTATCTCCATTCTCCCTTTTCTATCTAAAGTCCTAGAGAAACTCATTTTCCACCAATTAAATCTCCATCTGAATAGAAACTGCCTTCTAAATCCTTTTCAATCCGGTTTTCGGTCAGGACATAGTACAACTACAGCGCTGGTTAAAATTACTGACGATATTCGACGAGGTATGGACAATAGACAGCTCACAGTATTGGTACTATTGGATTTCAGTAATGCATTTAATTCTGTTGATCATGACATTCTGCTGAGTCTGTTACGTTCTGCTAACATATCTCCACCAGTGGCCGGCTGGTTTCAGAGTTATCTTAGTGGCCGACAGCAGCGTATTCGCATTGATGGTATGTTTTCATCCTGGCGTGAATTACGAGCTGGAGTGCCTCAAGGTGGTGTGTTGTCTCCATTACTCTTTGCTATCTTTATTAATTCAATCTCTCACAATATTACTTCTCTCTATCATATGTATGCAGACGATTTTCAACTGTACACACATTCAAATCTTGAAAATTTGCCCACTGCTGTTACTGCCATTAATGGTCACCTGGCGGCTATTAGCGAGTGGAGTAAGAGCTATGGTCTTAAGATTAATCCTTGCAAGTCCCAGGCCATCATTGTTGACGGAGCTGGCATGATTTCAAAGGTAGATTGGGATAACCTTCCCTCGATAACATTAAATGGTGTTGTGGTGCCATACAGCAAAACTGTTAAAAACCTTGGTGTTCACTTCGACTCTACTTTGACGTGGTCTCACCAGTTAAAGGAAGTTAGCAGGAAAACATTTGCAGCCATGGGTTCTCTGCGGCGCTTACGTTCTTTTCTCCCCATTCCTACTAAGATTATGTTAGCACAATCCTTACTTCTTTCCCTTCTCGATTATGCGGACGCAAGCTATCTTGATTTAACCGAGGACCAACTTAACAAGCTTGAGCGAATTCAAAACTTAGCTATCAGATTTATTTTCAGTCTACGCAAGTATGACCATGTCTCCGAATATCGTACAAAGCTCAAGTGGTTACCCATCCGCCTTCACCGGAATCTGCATATTGTTTCTCTTCTGTACTGTGTTTTGTTCAATCCTATGACTCCGAGTTATTTGAAGGAACAGTTTAAATTTCTTGGTCATGACAGACCAGAAAGAGTTCTGCGATCAGCCAGTGAACTCATTATCACCCCGCATACTTTCCGGACCAATTATTTTAAGAACTCTTTTATGGTCAAAGCCATTTGCCTATGGAACGCGCTTCCTCCACACATCCAGCGCTCAAAAACGTTACGCAAGTTTAAAACTGACGTTAAAAATTATTATCTGTCACTGTGTTCAAGCTGATTATCACCGACGACATTTGTATATTTATTTTTTATTCTTTTCTTCCTGTATATATTTTTGTTATTGTACAGTATATGTTTAGATTTATGTATGTCTATTGGATCTTATTTCGTATATATTAGTATATTATTATTATACAAAAATACAACATATTCGTTTAGTTTATTTAAATATTAGTATGTAAGTTTATCATTTACACCACCTACCGTTGTCCAAATTAAATATTTTTAACTTGTGGTTGTCTGGAAGAGATCGCTCCTTAGCGATAAGACCGCCTTATTGTTTATACCTCTTAAGTTTATAGTTCTGTAACATTTCCTTTCATGTTTTTTTGGTGTTCAATAAAGAATATAATAATAAGACATATATACTGAACATATATACTATTATAATATTACTGAACATATATATATAGAAGAAGTATATTGGGCGCTTATTTTAGATGGCTAGAATAGCAAGAGTGCGGAATAGCACTAAAAGTAAAAAATAATCATAGACACTAAAGTAACTAATGTTTACAGTTCCAAATTTAGAATTATTTTCCTTTTCCCAATAGAAAAACAAGTATACGATTAGACATAAATTATGGCGGGTTATTTTCGTTTTCAAAAGTAACGTACGGCCAACGTCAGAATTTATCGGCGGCCAGTAATTTTCCCGCGTGGCGGCACCGGAACGGCTTCGATCTCCACTTTCCGTACGCCATTAAAACTGTTACGTTTTACAACTCAATGCGTCCGTCAGTTAGGAGAGTGGATCGATGACGCGATAAATCACCTACGGACTTTTAGCTCCCGAGTCCCGGATAATTCTGTGCGTCGCAACGCCACGAAAATGGCGGGAACAGAGCGTTATTTTGAGGGTCAATAAAGTTGTTTTTTATCTGTGCCTTTTATTTAGGATAAAATTTGTTACTGAGTGATTTGTAATGGGCGCCTTGTAAACGTATGTTTTGCATTTTAGGTCCAGAGTAACGTTACATATTTTTTAGGTTTCCGTACTCAAAGGGTAAACGGGAAGAAACTCTATTACTAAGACTCCGCCGTCTGTCTGTCCGTCTGTCACCAGGCTGTATCTCATGCACCGTGATATTTAGGCAGTTGAAATTTTCACAGATAATGTATTTCTCTTGCCGCTATATTATCAATAAAAACTAAAAACAGAATAAAAAAATATTTAACTGGGCCTCCCATAAAACAGACATGATTATTTTTGCCGTTTTTACAGAATGGTACGGAACCCTTCGTGCGCGAGACCGACTGGAACTTTTTTAAGAACACTGTTATGAAAGTGATATTATTCTGTACTGTCGCACTCAAACTTTTCAATTAGCGACTGAACACCGGTTTAATTTTAAGTGTTGACTAACTAACGCCCGGCTTCCGAAACACTGATCATCAAGGGTGGTTGAATTCTTTGAATTGATAATGCGACATCATTCTGATTAATTCAAAGAGTTTAGCCTTCCATTTGGCACCTCAAATGACATTTGACAAGCCGTTTGACAGCTGATTAGTTAATTTCCACGATGATTAGTAGGATCGCATTACTGAATTTCCCAACAGTGCACTTTTGCGAACTTGTGTCCATTCGGGTTTTATTAATAAGCCTCATAATGGCAGTAACGTAAATGTAGTTATTAACGAATCCGACGCTACTATACTAATTAATGTTTCTGAGTGTGGTCATGGACAAAGCAACCAGCTTTCTTCGAGCCGCTTTGTTATACTGACGTGCAAAAGAGAACTAACCATAAATTCTCCTTAATATGTGAAATACGCACGCGGAGAAAACCTGTAATTGTGTTCTCATACCAGTTCCAATTTACGCATAGCAGGCGAGTCGATTCGTGATCAGATTAGAATTGTCCGCGGTTGTAATTAAAACATCTCGCGAACACCGTTTTAAGATAAATTACGTAAGTATTTCATTTACGCAAACATAAATCGCTGTTACAATTGGTCTCGTGCACGCGATTGGATTCATTGCGAACAATAGTGTTATGAATAAAAATAATTGTTGACACCTTTTGTCTCATAACAATAAAATATTATTGACCTTGAAAAACAATAGCTAGGCATAATAGTTATTTAAATGCTGTATGTTTTGCATGGCGTCGGTTTAATTATTTAAAATAATAGTCGGTTACTGAACATTTCACAAACATGCGCAGTTGTTCTCTGGCTAGCGGCTAGGGTTTTTTTTTTGTTGAAAAACTAGTTTGATAAATCACCAGGGCGGCGCGGGTCATAAGTTGGAGTCTATAAGTCAAAGCTAACTTCGTGTACAGACGGACGTAAGAACTGTCTGTGACGTAAGAACTGTCAATAACTGATTAGAATAAATCATTAGAACAATCTAGCTAGAGACTACCAATTTTAAAAAAGGAAATGCCATTGTGCTATTGCGATACGTTTAAACATTATCTAAACCGCTAATCAAGATAAGGAAACAATTGTATAAGTTGAATGTAACACTTTTTATGTCTAATAAGATCTAAATCGTGCTAGTATTGTGTTGTTTATTCAACCGATACTATCAGGTTTTTTAATGTTTAAATACATATAAGAGTGACTTTTTTATGTGAGAAAGCGGTAAACGATCTGGTTTTTTGCCTTATCTTAACCGGGCCTATTGACATTTGCGACACCCATAGGGTTATAGATGCGATGCCAACTTTTAGTAAAGTAAACACCTTTTAATACGGTTAACCTCGGCTACCTCACTCATCAGACGAAAGAAGTATAACACTTCCACTTCACGCCGGTCTTCTGTGGGGCCGTGGCACTAAACCGGACGGACCTTCCCATTCGTGCAACAGAGAAGACTGTTGCGTGGCCCTATCACTAAAATATGAAAAGACTAAAAAATACCTTGTCTCTGCATAGGTATTTCCTTTTCTGGGTTGTGTGTTACTTTTCTTTTAATTTTGTTTACGTGAATAAATATTTTCATTAGGCAGTATCACACTTTCTCTACACTTAAGTTCTAACGACATAACTTCTTACCTGTTTATGGTAATGGCGACCATAGACAACAGTGACACCGCCTCGTTCCCGTAGAACACGAAGGCGAACATCTGACACAAGCGGGGGCCTAGCGTCCATTGCTGCTTTATGTACCTGTTTAGAAATAGATATTTAGTTAGCGAGCCATTTTTCTTTTTTTCCGCGCATAAACGAGGTTCAGGCTAGGCGCCTTCAGCGCTTAACCACCTCAAGATCCTCCTGAAGACCTCTTAATAACCAACATTGAAAGATTCAATAAAAAATTGTTTACTTTTTATTCAACCAGGGTTAACCGAAAGATGTTATTTTCATTTTATGAAAGGACTTTAAGTTAACCTATTAATACATCACTTTAACAACCAAAATGTTGTTTTGATTTCATAGTACAGTTGTAGTTAAATTTATTGATCTCTAATTATGCGTCTTATGTAATTTGAAAACGGCACTCCAATCTAAAAATCCAGGGAAATGATCCCACAGAGGGAGAAATGTCAATAAGACAAGAAGTGTATTGAAAATTAATTTGTATTTTATTACTAATCTTTGCACTTAGGATGAAACCTAAAAATGTGTCAATAATTGTCGAAAAATGGTTTTGTTTCACCGCCAGTCAGGTTTTCAACCCCTAGCTTAGTGTCTCATTATCCGGATATTGTAGGTTTGAATAGTACAGCGGGGAAAAATTTTTCGACAATTTATCTAGACTTTTTAAGAGTGTATTGCTTTTACTGAGCTATTGCGTTGAACAGCCAACACTGTTCACGATCGGATGTTATTCAAGCTTTTTAAATTAATAAAAAAACATACCGGCTGGCAGTCAGCGGTAGGTTGATGCTGCAGAAGAGAAGATCGGACACGCAGAGCGACAGAACGAACATTGTGGTCACGTGACCGCGCAGTTTCGGGTGCATCAGCAGCGCCACGGTGGTGATGAAGTTGCCTGTTAAAAAAATCATAATATAATAAAAAGTTGAAACTTTTTTCCAACGCATCAATTTTTGTCCTTCATCAATGGCATGTCGCATTACAGCCGGCCGTGGAGTAGGGGTAAAGCAAAATGCGCTTGACAGAGCAGTCAAGGCCAATATGGCGGCGACCATGGCTCGCATCAGTTAACTGTGTAGCATTCATATTAATTTTTTAAATAAATACATATAAACATTTTTATTTTTTTCTTTTGTAAATAAATACATATTTTACATTTATAGACACCCAGACTCTAGAGAAACACTATGTTCATCACACAATATTTTTCCAGTAAAGGGAATCGTACCCACACCCTCTGGCGCAGAAGGCAGGTACACTACCCACGACTCCATTCGGGTCGTCAATGTCGACAAACGTTTTGCGCGGTCATTTTGATTGAGCAGTATCTAATGGCGTCTATCCACAAAAATACACGTGATTCGTTAAAATCTACTGATAATTGTCATGTAAAATCTATAAATTAATATAATACCTGCCGCGCGGACGTTATTTCCCCTCTTCGGATTTAGACTCTGATTCCTAAAGGAGGAAAGGCCTTGAAAAAACATTTCTCAGCACAGGAACTCAGTCGCGTAGCCGACAATATCCTCATTTTTAGGAATGCACGCATGCAAAAGGACTCTACTTATGAAATCTCTCAAGTTAGATACTTAACCTTCTCACGAGCTCTGCATCCGATCAATCTGTATAACCTACTAGCTTTTCGCCCGCGGCTTCGCTCACGTTGAAGACCTTAAATAAATATCTTTCAACCGTTTACAAAACTTTTTTCCAATTAAAAATAGCCTATGTCCTTTCTCAGGCTCTAGACTGAGTACCAAATTTCATTTAAATCGGTTGAGTAGTTTTGGAGTGAAAGCGAGACAGACAGACAGAGTTACTTTCGCATTTATAATATTAGTATGGATGGACTAAAAGCGCAAACTTAAATAAAAAAAATATAAAAGGAGGTTTTTATTTGGACATTTTTAAATTGTATAATATATTAGTTCTTGTTAGTACTTCTTTTTTTCTTTAACAAACATTATTGGAATAATAATTAATGATATGGGAAGCGTTTGAAAAATAACAGATTATAATAATATTATTTATCTAACAATATTATTTAACACAACAACAGCAAAATACATTTCAGTAAATACAATGATATATTTAAATGCGTTTATTTTCGTTTATATACATACGAAAACGTAATAAGTTTATATAGAAGGGTAGGTAGATACGTAGTAGGGTAAATAAAAGGCATAATATAAATTAGATTGCAAAAATATGGTAACTGAAACCGGAATATTACAGCTTTCTTCAACAGCGGAACCCAAACTAAGCCTGTCTCATGGGAAACAATTGCATCCGTCCCCTAACGTAATGAAGCCAAGCTTCCTTACAGTTCAAACGTTATAAAAGTATTCGATACGTAGGCAATATTAATCAAACTAAAATAAGTTGATAAAGTAAATAGAAGAGAGGAGAATAAATTCAACAACTACTTTTTTCTCGTTTGAAAAGACAAATCAAACGAGTCTTGTCTCTAATTGAGCGGATGAATATGGTGACACTAGGGCCAGCACATTATTTGGACACGTGCTCATGACAATTATTGTATGAGCTTTAAGGGAGCTATCGGCTTACGAATCGAGCTCCGATTCAAGCCGGCTAACTACTCCAACAGCCCGTCTAGAATCGATATTTTTTAACGTCTTATTAAGGTGCTATTTTGGGACACGATATTACGCATATTTGTTTAAGTAACGCAGTTTTATTTAAATATTAAAATTTAAAGTATTTATTATACATACGGCAAGAAATGATTGCATTTTTTGGACATAGTTAAATAATTCTTACTAATATTAAGGAATTACGCGACAGTCATATGCCATCCAATAAAGAGAAAGGTGTGATCTAAAAATAAGATCGATTAATTTTTATACTAGAAACCGCTAAAGCTAAAACATGTATTTAATTAGTATTGTCAACCGTTTGATTCATTAAATTTTTAATCACGACTTGTCTATCAGCTCAGAGCTGGAAGAGATTATAGTTGTCTGATCATCTTTTACTGAATTTGCATAATTTTTTTAGACTTTGTTTCAGGCAGTGTCTTGTACTTAGCGAATTGTGAATGCTACTTATTATTAAGTAATTTTCTTATCGATTTTTTTGATGATTATCCGTTTAATTTTTATTTTTAACCCGATGTTTCGAAAACTATACAGTGGTCTTGTCCCGTAGTTATTTAACCACTAACATAATTTTTATTTTATGAATCAACGGAAAATATTAGCAATATTTAATAATAAATCTAGCCAAATTACATTTTATCTTACAAACCTAGTCCACGCGGCATGGCGCCAAAAACGCTAGCTGCATTTCCTCGCTGAATAGTTATGCTTAATTTTTAACGGAAAAAGAACAAGTATCTTGCCATCAGCCACAGCGGTCTATGGGACGTAAACCTTAAATTTGGTGACTCCGAAGGCTGTGGATGATAATAGTTGTACGGAACAAGCCAGAATCGAATGAAATTTATGACTTTCACTTTGACCGAGACGATTAAAAAATGTATTCGCTCCTATGTAAAGGAATCGAAAACACGACACTGACAATAGACTTAACAATAGACAGTAGAACGAGTGACCGTCTCAATTTCCTCAAAGGAGTTTTAAATGGGTTCTTACTGAGCACGTTAATATTTTACTACTACATGATATCAAGTGGCTCAGTTGACAAGCTCGGGCCAGTAAATTTTTATTACGAAAAAAGTTGCCAAGCGAGCAGGCGGTTCACATGACGTTAAGTGAGTCCATGGACATCTACAACGCCTGAGCACTGGCAGATGTGTTTGGAACCCTCGAAATAAGTGGGCCCCGGTTACCTTACTCATCAGACGAAACGAGTAAGCGATACTTCAAGTTCACTCTGATCTTCTGTGTGGGCGTGATACACAAAACTCGAATTCAATAAAGTTTAAACTGAATTTAAAAACGACATACTTCATTATTATTTAACAAAATTAAATCGAATATTGAATAGGCCAGTTTAAAGTTGGAAGTTGTAGACAAACGATTATTTGAAACGTGCTGAAGAAAAAAAAGATAGAATCTAAACCGAATATAAAGCTGAAAGGCGTTCGTTCGCGGCTAGGCTTGTTGCTTATAACAAATAATCAGATGGGAAGTAAACAAAGATTTTTTTACAATTTCGCATTCGCCGCCGACGAAACATAAGATCGTTTTGGCTCGGCGCAAACGGTCGGCGGTAACAGTGCGCGCAGACGTAAACGAATACGAAAACGATAACGAGCGCACGAAACGAAACTATCCTTGCATTTAAGATGTCAAGGTTCACGCAACTGCCAATATCGCCCCTACACAACCCGTAGCCAATGACTCCCTCATATATCTATCTTTATATCTTCATGAATGATTCGGCATGAATGCGTGACTATACACTAGTCTTAAAATTTATTCTTCCCATAAGCTCCGTGTTCGATAAACTTCTATACAGTCTAGGCGATGTCTTCCTGAAACTTAAACGTTGGCATAGGAAATTATGAGCGTGTGTTGTCATATACAAATGGGCCAAACGCTATGTAAAATAAATAAAAACCGGCCAAGTGCGAGACTCGCGCACGAAGGGTCCGTATCATTATCTATAAAAGCGGCAAAAATCATGTCTGTTGTATGGGTGCCCAACTTAAATTTTATTCCGTATTTTTAGTATTTGTTGTTATAGCGGAAACAGAAATACATCATCTGTGGAAATTTCAACTGTCTAACTATCATGGTTCATGAGATACAACCTGGTGACAGACGGACAGATCAACAGACTAACAGACAAACAGACAGACAGCGAAGTTTTAGTAATAGAGTCCCGTTTTACCTTTTGGGTACGAAACCCTAAAAAGTAAGTACTACGAACAGAAGGGAAAAGTTAAAACTGGATAACAATTTTTATTTATTCTTAAATGAATTATAGTATGAATAAATACACTAATTTTAATTGCTAAAGAGCTATTTTATTTCTGAAAATTTAAAATAATAACTTTGATTAATAAAATTTTTATATATAATTTGATAGGATTTCTATAGAATGTGCGATAAATACACTATTTAACAATAATAGATTTGTGTTATCCCGGTGTCGACACCCATTAAGTTGTCACTTTTAAGTGACGTTTTATCACGTGCTTAGCGGTGAAGGAAAACATCTTGAGGAAACCGGCATATTTTCGAAAGAATAACAAAATAAAATATTTCGAATGTATGTGAAGTCCGCCAATCCGCAATGGGGTAGCGTGGTCTATGCCCTAATACCCACAGTACAGATTTTTTTTTGACCCTTTGCCCACCAGTGGGATATTCATAGGCTATTACTTTACTTATATTAACCGTTACACATGTTAAACGAGATGCGTAACATTCGTTACGATAGTTATAATAAAATATTCATGAATAAAATGTTTACTCTGTCGTTATTTTTTTTCTCTTCGTTCATCATCGCGGAAGCTGTAACTCTTGTGAGCCGCCGACGGCCGTATAAATAAATCTTCGTCACTTCTGACTGACCAAATTAGGTCACGATATTATTTTATTTCATTTGGAACACTTACAGCTATTAACAAAGATAATTAAGTGACTTATAATACTTACGAAGCAATTTATAAAGTTTTTACATTTGGTTGTTTTAATATAAACTATAGAAAATAAAATAAATACTAAGAAAACTATGTGGCAGAATTTCAAATCGATCTCTCCGAGCTGTCAGTTTGTTGACACAAGGATTCACCATAACTACTGTATCAGTCTGTCGAGACCGCTGAAGTTATGCAGGTCTACACTCCCCGTTTTGAGTGGAGTGCAGAAATTTATTCATGTGTTACAAGTATATCTAATGATATAAAGTAAAAAGTTCAATGTTAACCTTCGTACTTTCAACGTTAAAAAATAACACTCT